ATACTTAAAGTTATCATTACATGAAAGTTCTCTTTTTGAGTCTCTGAGGAGGGTAGAGTCAGAGGCAGAGACCTCAGATCTCCCCTCTGTTGATTGCATGTGTTACACACTAGTGACTTCTGGTACTCCCAAAGCATTGAGGTCTCTACACCAATTTGAGGCTCAGTAGTTAGGGGCTTTATTTTTTTAATGATATACTTTTTCTTAATCCTTTAATTACAGACTACTAGAGATCCCCCAGATTTGATAATATAACCTTAAATAATTTCAATAGTGATAACAATGGTAGCTAATTATTATTTAGCACTTACATACCAGTACTGTTCACAGCCTTTTATGTGTATTAACTTATGCAATCCTTAGTTTTTTAGGATGAGGAAACATTCAAATAGTTTTTCTAAGTTTGATCCCTTTACAGATAGATGCTCAATTCATTCATTCAACAAATATTCCACAATGGCATGAAACTAGAAATCAATAATAGGGTAAATCTTGGAAAACTCACAAATATGTGGAAATTAAACAATATTCTCCTGAATAACCAATGGGTTAAAGAAGAAATTAAAATGGAAATTTAAAAGTATCTTGAGACAAATGAAAATAGAAACATAGCATCTAAACCATGTCACTCACTGTATGCATCATCTTGGGTAAATCACTTAACCTCTCTCTGCTTTTCCTCATTTATAAGAGAGAATACATAGTAATATCTCTTACTATTGATGTTATGGGTTGAATTATGTTCTCCCAAACAAAATATACAACTCTTAGTTGTATCTAACTGTTAGTATCCCAGAATTTGACTTATATGGAAATAGTATCATTGCAGATGTAATTAAGGTAAGATGAAGTCATACTGGCACTTAATCCAGTGTGACTGGTGTTCTTATTAGCCAAGGAGAGAGACACAGAATAGTATGTGATTATAGAGGGAGAGACTGGATTTATGCTGACATAAACCAAGGAACACGTGGGCTATCAGAAGGTAGAAGGCGCAAGAAAGAATTCTTTCCTAGAGGCTTTAAGGAGACCAGGGCCCTTCTAACACTTTGATGTTGTACTTCTAGCCTCCAGAGCTGTGAGAGAATAAATTTCTGTTGTTTTAAGGCACCAAGTATGCAATAATTTGGTATTCTATTAACCACAGAAGTTAATACAGTTGATAAGAAGGTTAATGAAATAAAAATCTTAGGAAAGTGCCTGAATTACAACATTCAATAAATTTTTATTAAAAAAACAACAACAAATATTAATTAAGAATGCACTGTGCATATACCAGGCATTATTTTAGTTTTTGAGGTTATATAAGTGAACAAAACAAAGAAAGCTTTGCTTTCCTGGAGTTTATATTCTTTTAAGGAGATAAAAACTAATAAACTAATAATATGTTTAGTGATAAGTCCACTGAAGAAAAATAAAACAATATAAGGGGATAGGGAACAACAAAGTTATTTAGTATGTGACTGCACAGAGATGGGACTAAGCTGAGTGAGTTATGTGTGTATCTGGGGAAAGTTTGCAAGATGAAAACTATGTGAAAACCCAAGACTGAGATTGGAGTTTTAGAACAACTCACATTCTTTTTAAATAAAAGGCCAGGTCATAAATATTTTAGCCTTTGCAGGCTATAAGGTTTATGTTACAACTAAACTCTGCCATTGTAGGCAAAAATAGCCATGGACAATCTATAAATGCATAGACCTGGCTGTGTTCTCATAAATTCTTTGCTAAACAGGCAGCATGTTGGATTTGATCCTGTGGGGCTGTAGCTGATTAATGCCTGGGGTAGGTCATACGGACTTTCTAGATAATGGCAGGTATGTCAGATATTGTTCTAAGGATGAGAGAGTTTTGAGCAATAAATTACAATCTTCTGATGTGTGCTTATAATTTTTAAAACAGGTTGACACTTAGATCTTCAACATACTGCAGAAAGACTATAATGGCTTTCAAAGTCTGTTTTTATACTGTTTTATTATTTGCATTTGCTACATTCCTGTAACAGGCATTTGTGAATACCTATCATGTGTCAGAATCATATTGGGAATTAATTTATTAATATGATACTTCCGTATTTTCACTCGACCCTAAACTCCTAGATTTTTCTCATTTATCGTGGTAACCCATGGGAAGTTCCTAGCACTGTACCTGATGCAAAGTAAATATTTGAAGGAATTAGTATATCCCCCCAAAAAGTTCATACTATATCGGAAAAGGTAGATATTGTAGAAAATTGCAGTATACCTTTGTAGAGATATGAGTGAAGGGCTATGAAAGCTTAGAGAGGAGAGATCCCAAACATAAGTAGGAGAAAAAGAAATTCAGTTTTAGACATGGTGAGATTAAGTCTATATGGGCTATCCAGGTAAAGATGTTTGGGAAGTAGTTGGACAATAGGGTTCTGGGGCTGTTGGGCCGCAGAAATGTACAGCCCGTGTGGGGGAGAGACGACCGCTCAAAAAAAACTCAGAGTCCAGAGACTTGATGCAATAGCATGAGGTGGATTCATTTACCAGCGCACGCAGGGGCGTACAGTGAAGCTGTCGCACCAGCCCTTTTTTCCTTAGGATTTTTATAGACAGAAACCACACGCAGGTGGCTAGGGGTCACAGGGTGGGGGGAAAGTTTCATGGGCTTTGACCTTGCACAAACATGTACCAGATTAGCTAATGTCGGGAACTTCTAATCTTAGTAATTTCCAAGGACTAACGGCTGGGGAGTTACAGAGTGGCGCCAGCGAGGGGAGGGAGTAGGGTTGAGCGAGCGGAGTTTACAGAAGCAGAATGGCAGGTTAGATTTTTCTCCACAGGGCCTAAGAGAGAGCACTAGACTTGGCATCAACATTTAGAGATTATTCAAGGTAGTTAAAGCCATCAAAAAAGAATTTTTGCCGTTGACAGAAATATTTTTTTTATTTTTATTTATTTTTTTTGAGACAGAGTCTCATTCTGTTGCCCCGGCTACAGTGCCGTTACATCACCCTAGCTCACAGCAACCTCAAACTCCTGGGCTCAGGCAATCCTCCTGCCTCAGCCTCCCGAGTAGCTGGGAGGCTAGTAGGGACGGCGTTAGTAGATTTAGACGGATTTAGTAGAGACGGCGTTTCGCTCTTGCTCAGGCTGGTTTTGAACTCCTGAGCTCAAGCAATCCTCCCGCCTTGGCCTCCCTGAGTGCTAGGATTACACTCATGAGCACCTGGCCCCAGAAATCTTGAAGACCAATGCATATTTAGATTATAATCGGAGGGAGAGAAAGACAATGAAAGGCTAAGTAAGAAGGAATGAGTAAGCACATAGAAGTAGGATTAAGTGGTATCCTAAAAGTCAAGTTTCAAAAGGGAGGCAGTAAACTTGATTAAGTATGGTGAATGGACTCAATAATAAAAGGTTATGAAAGGCATTAAGGTCACTAGGAAAAAGAGAATGGGAGAGAAGACTAGCAGATAATAGATGTCAACAAAATTTTGGAAGATGTATGTGAAATATATAATTGAATGGTAAGAGATTTGAGTTTCTGCTTTCTCTTCTCCAAAGGCATGTAAGAAATTAATTGGCCAACTAAAAATATATAGAAAAAATTAGCCGGGCATCGTGGTGCATGCATTGGTACTTGTAGGAAGTGAATTTCAGGAATGGAGTGGAGTAGGACAGAGGAGGGGTAGGACAGCTTGCAGGACTAATGCCTTTGGAAATGATCTAAAACTGTTACTTTGATTTTTGTTTTTAAGAAGGTAAGGACAAAGTGCCTCATATTATGAAGAGTCTATAAGAAATAAAATTAAGAGAAATGAAAATTATGAAAAGGAACCGTGGGCTTTGGCAGACAAGATTATAATTATCTTGGGGCAGTTTCAGTGGTTGAGTGGTTAGTGTAGACCGTGTTGCAGTTGCTTGAAGAGTAAAAAAATAGAAAAATTATTTCACATACTGCAAAAGAATAAATTGAAAGAGACCAATTGACATACATGATTAAATAAGGTTATACAGAATAGATATATTATCCTCAGTGAAATACAGAATATGAAAATATGACTTAAATTATTAAAATGTATCATGGTCAGGGAAGGTGGCTCACACCTGTAATCCTAGCATTTTAGGAGTCTGAGGCAGGAGGATCGCTTGAGGCCAGGAGTTCAAGACCAGTCTGAGCTACATAGTGACACCCCATCTTTACAAAAAGAAAAAGTTAGCTGGTTGTGGTGTCACATGTCTGGTCCCAGCTACTCCAGAGGCTGAGGCAGGAGGGTGGCTTGAACCCAGTTTGGTTTTTTGGAGTTTTTTTGTTTGTTTGTTTTTGGTTTTTTTATTTATTATTTTTTTAGCGTATTAGGGGGGTACAAGTGTTAATATATTGCCCATGCCCCCCTCACCCCTTAACCCAGTTTGAGGTTATAGTGAGTTATGATAATTCCACTGCACTCTAGCCTGAGCAACCCTGTTCCTTCTCTGCCCCTCCCCGTGCCAAAAAACCAAGAAGTAACATTATACATTTACAGAGGATACCTCATAAAACAAAACAAAGCAGGTTTTAAAAATTTATTTCAATAGTTCCTCTAAAATGATTCATTTTACTGAAATATGTCAGCTAGGCATCTCTACTGATTATATAAGGTAAACTACCAGTATAACATAATTTTTATTACTTCTTTATTTGAATAAAATACCTTTTCAGAATTCCTTTATTTCAGCTTGATTTAAAAAGGGTTTCTTTGTTTCTTCTGAGTACTTTATAAAAATATATAGGCTTTTTAAATATGTTGAAATCTAATGAAATTATAAAGCAGAATGTCTCCCTGTCTCCTGTTTTCTGCATTAACCTGATTGCTCTATCATAGTTTGAGTTCTGTTAGTTCCCCTTCCAGGTTCAAGTTTTTGTTCAAGCTTGGTCATAGGAGTAATGTTATCATCTTTAAATTTGGTCATGGAATGTGTCTCACTGCCCGGCTCAGGGAAATGCTCCTCAGTCTGGGCTTGGACAATAACGCTTATTTTCCTTGGCAGAGAAGCTGATCGTTGAGGGGCATCTAACCAAAGTGGTAGAAGAAACAAAGCTTTCAAAAGGTTTGTTTTTTGGTTTTTCTATGGTTTTTGACAGCTCTTTTGGATAATGAAGGTTAGTGTAGACTTCCAAGGATATAGTATTTGAAAGTTAATATTTGGAATAGGTTTCTTTAGATATTAAATTTTGTTGCAATCTCTCTGACTTCCACTGTTATTTTCAGCTTTAATCTCAAAGTTTTCATCAAACGCTATGTAAATCTTTTCTGATACAACCTAAGTGAAGAATACTTACAGTTCTATTTGGGGGATTACTGTACCTTTAAAATCCCTTATGATATTTAATATTTTCTTAATTTTTGGCATCTCAGTTTGACTTCAACAAAAGTAATGGCTTTTGTGAATGTAGAATCTTCTTATATTTTATAATGAATAATCCAGTAATTATCCAAAGGAGTTTATTGTGTTAATTCTTTTTGTTACAATTGTCATACTTAGGGAAAAGTGAGTTTTAAAGTTCATAGTGTCATCCACCTCACTGTCATGTTCTAAAAAAAACAAAAAACAAAAAAAAACAAAATAAAGTTCATAGTGTCCAGTCACTTTTATGCATAGGGATATTAGGCAAATAAATTTGGTAAGATATGTTCATTATCATAATAGAACTTTCATCAGACTATACCAGTATAAAATTTAAAACTAGATTCACAATCCTTTTGGTCAGTTAAAACAAGTGATAAAAAGGGTAAGATACTTAATTCTGTTTTATTAAAGGAACTGTATTCATTTGGCTTTTTAAAATATTTAAAAGGATAATGTTATTCCAAATATCTGGTGGCTTCCATTCTGAATTTTGTGCACGGCAGATGCCATATTTGGGGAAAAAATGCATAGAATATGAATCACTAATATTGTTCTGACAAACAAGCATTGAGTCTCAGAACAGTGAGCTATTTTTAGTACATATGGCAATTCATTTCTTCTTATTAAAGTGAGATGAGAACAGACTTTAAAATAGCTTCTACTTCACCACCTAAACACCTATCAGATTAGTTGGTCGAATAGCTAGCACTAGAAGTAGAAGTAGAGCGGTAGAGGGGGGAAAGTCAATGCTTCTTTAAAGAAAAGTATTTTGCTATCTTAGTGCTTCTATTTAATGCATTCTGAATTAAAATATATTTGCTTGAAATTATATATCATTATTGGAAATGTTTTGTCCAATATTATTGGTTTCCCTTTAAAAACCTAGCTATAAAATACATATTGGAAGTTTTAAAGAACATGCTTTTTGATCCAGAAATTCTACTTCTAGGTTTTTATCTTAAGGAACAAATTGGACAAGTGTACAAGGGTGTTTGTTTCAGTGTTGTTTTAAAAGCAATAAGAGGCCGGGCGTGGTGTCTCACGCCTGTAGTCCTAGCACTCTGGGAGGCCAAGGCGGGCGGATTGCTTGAGGTCAGGAGTTCGAAACCAGCCTGAGCAAGAGCGAGACCCCGTCTCTACCATAAATAGAAATTAATTGGCCAATTAATATATATAGAAAAATTAGCTGGGCATGGTGGCGCATGCCTGTAGTCCCAGCTATTTGGGAGGCTGAGGCAGCAGAATTGCTTGAGCCCAGGAGTTTGAGGTTGCTGTGAGCTAGGCTGACGCCACGGCACTCACTCTAGCCTGGGCAACAAAGCAAGACTCTGTATCAAAAAAATAAATAAATAAAAATAAAAGCAATAAGAGGAAAGCCTAAGTATCCAATGATAAAGGCATTTATTAAATAAATTATGGTAAATAAGTTTGTACCAGTGAATAGAATACATCTTTTAAGAATGATAATACAAATATAACTTTTATATGTCCAGGGATATTTCTATGAGTCAGTGTTGTACTAGCACTTTTCATAGTTAACATACAGAGATATGCAAATCCTTATAACAAACTAGATAGCTGAAATAAGTTACATTTTAAATGTTTTAAATCTGGCTATTAAGTATTTTCTTTTGGATTTGTCTAAATTGGTTTTTTTAATGCTTTCATTGGTGATGCTTTTGGTGGAATTTTATTTTTTGGATTGAAAATATCAGTTGTTAGAACAGTTACAGCTGTTACCAGTCCTTAATATTCCCTCTAGAGGTTTCACCTAATGCAAAATGTAATCATAAATTGTATATACTTTAAACCCTAACTCAATATTTAGTAATTACAAGTCTACAGTAGCTTTGGGGATAGAAGTGAAAAGAATATGAGTAGATAATTCTACCATTAACTAGCCATATGCCATCAGGCAACTTCCTTTAATTGTTTAAACCTCAGTTTTCTCATTTGTAAAATGGGATAGCCAAGATCTAACTTGTAGAGTTGTTGTGGGAATTTAATGAAATAACTGCTTATAAAGTAAGAGACACTATTCTCATGTCCAACAAATGTTAATTTTTCCCTGTCCTGATCCTTAATCTTGCTTTCTTTCCAAGTAATGGTTCCAGTGGTATAGGAAATTGTCTATGGCTGGTATATTTGTTTTGTCCATCCATAGTTATGTATACACAAAGATACAATGAAATAGTCACCTTGTGTTACAGGCTTCCCAATTTGGGAACAGTTGGAATATTGATGTTGGTAGCTCTTCTTCTATTTCCTTCTATATTACTGTTGAAATGTATCTTAATGATTAAGTACTGCAGAGAAAATCAGTAATAGTTTTTTAATACTGGAAAGTTAGGAGCTGCTTCATAACTGAAGAATAGGTGTTTTGGAAAGAAGTAAACACTTTACCATTTGTTGGGTCCTGTGTTTCATTCTTGCCTCCTTATACCAGCTGTAGTATCAGGGTACAATGATGGATCATGACTTGACTTGCTAAAAACTTGCCTTCTTGTTCAAAGTAGGCGTGTGCCTTTAATCAACCTTTTATTTATTTTTTGAGCCTCTACTATGTACTAGTCACTGTCCTATGTATGCACAGGGAATATAGGAGTCAGTTAATGAGACATACAAAAATCCCAGCTCTCATAAAGTTTACACTGTAGTGAGAATTTGATGGAAAATTTGGCCCTACCTGTACGACAGTTTTTACCTTCCTAGCTAATACTCTAAATATAGAATAAAAGTTCCTTCTAAGCTAGAAGAACACTTCTGAAAATACATTCTTGCTTTACTTCAATAACTTGATCATAAAATTGCTCTATAAAATCAGTATAGAGTCATTTTCCTGTTTTCCTTTTTGTTCTTCTAGAGTGGTTTCATTTCTATCCATATATAGAAATTAGATGTATTAGCCTGTTGTATTTGTGGTTATAACTTTGTCATCAAAACTAGACCATTCAGGCCGGGCGTGGTGGCTCACGCCTGTAATCCTGGCTTTCTGGGAGGCCGAGGTGGGCAGATTGCTCAAGGTCAGGAGTTCGAAGCCAGCCTGAGCCAGAGTGAGACCCCGTCTCTACTATAAATAGAAAGGAATTAATTGGCCAACTCATATATATATATATATATATATAGAGAGAGAGAGAGAGAGAGAGAGAGAGAGAGAGAGACAGATAGAAAAAATTAGCCGGGCCTGGTGGCGCATGCCTGTAGTCCCAGCTACTCAGGAAGCTGAGGCAGAAGGATTGCTTGAGCCCAGGAGGTTGAGGTTGCTGTGAGCTCCGCTGACGCCACGGCACTCACTCTAGCCTGGGCAACAAAAGCGAGACTCTGTCTCAAAAAACAAACAAACAAAAAAAACTAGACCATTCAGAAATGTCTGATGATATAGCACATTATGAATGCAGCAGAGGTCACAGATTTGCCAGATTGCCCTGGGCCTCCATGGTTAGTGACTTCACTTCTAATCTAAGCTCCCTATCTCTTAGCAGTTGGCCTTTGACTACATATATGGCAGTGAGAAAAAAAGCAAAGATTTCTTGCAATTCATCACTCATTTCACAAGTTAAACCACAAATGCTAGGGATGTTCTTATATGGAATAGCTTTTTTTTTTTGAGACAGAGTATCACTCTGTTCCCAGGGCTAAAGTGCTGTGGTGTCGGACTAGCTCACAGCAACCTCAAACTCCTGGGCTCAAGCGATCCTCCTGCCTCAGCCTCCCGAGTAGCTGGGACTACAGGCATGCGCCACCATGCCCAGCTAATTTTTTCTATGTCGTTTTAGTTGGCCAATTAATTTCTTTCTATTTTTAGTAGAGACGGGGTCTCGCTCTTGCTCAGGCTGGTTTCAAACTCCTGACCTGGAGCAATCCACCCGCCTTGGCCTCCCAGAGTGCTAGGATTACAGGCCTGAGCCCCTGTGCCTGGCCCACTCCCTTAAATCTTAGATATTTTGTTAAAACTACTTTCAACTCTCCAAATATAATAGCTATATAAATTCCAATTACTTATTTTGATAATAATAGCTTACTGATAGATCTAAGTACTATCTGTAATTATCTTTTCTCTCTCTCTCTGTAGACGCCCAAATGGATGACCAAGACCTAAATGAACCTCTTGCTAAAGTGTCCCTATTAAAAGGTATTTTAACATGTTTTTAAGACATTTTAAATCAGAGCATCAGATCACCCTTTACCACAAAATCTGTTTCATGTATTCTGTGTAATTTTTAGTTAAGAGATGAAAATAGGCTCTGTAATTGGTATTGGTGCCCAGTGCTTCAAATGAAAATGCTTAAATTGTAGAATAATTTGGATCAATCAAGATTATGCGGGACAAAGGGGTAAGTGGTAGAATGTGAAATATAGCTATGTTTTTTTGTTTACCCTTGAACTCATTAGCACTTCTAACATAATTAGAATAAGGTAAAAATCTTAACTTTCTTGAAAGAATCATGTGTTTACTCTGTTATCATATAGTAGCAGTTGTAAATTTCCTCATTTTCTGATTTTTCCTTATCCTCCAGTGTATATCCCCAAGTTCTTAGGATATTCTTCTAGATATTTTGGACTAGGAAATTTTAACTAGGGCTAAGATAAGCAATGCATGTAATGAACTCTTAGTTGTCTCACCTCTAAATAAGAAGTACATTTATTCCTTGATATTTATTGAATGGGTAGGAAATAAATCAGCATTTATAAAACTTTTT